AAATAACTCATGATTAATCTGTTCGGTTCCCCTCCTAATTTATGTTATGATGTAGTGGTCGAGACACTCTTATCAATAATACAAGCCTGCCAAAATCGCCATATGAATCTGTTCAGTTTCCTCTGTCTTGAATGCAACAGAAAAAATATATGTTTGTGAACCAATTAATGGCTGAAGTAATGATGGAAATGGTGGAGGAATTAGAGCTGCACATTCCTGCGCAACAACAACTGATCAATGTTTTCAGAGACAGTGTAGCAAAGCAGCAAGAACTTGCCCACATGCTTATGGGCGTCATCCGCGCTGAGATTGCAGATTGTGACGTTGTAGATCGTTAGGTTCTGTTCATTTATTTGCACTGGCATCAATCTTTGATTGCCCAGTGGATGTGATGAAGCACAGACTAGCGACTTGCTAAATTGTGCGAGTCACGGCCCGATCTTTCACGGTATTTGCGAGACAGCAATGAACGGCAGCAGCAACCGTCGCAGAATAAGACAAACAGACGACGAAGAAGAAAAGCCTCTGGATCAAAACGATATAGCAAGAAGCCAAAGGAGTAGACTTGTACCGAATATTGATACGAGATCAACACAGGAACAGCAACAACGAAACCCTAGGAATCGCAAGAACGTATCTTTGGTGCCCCTCGCCGTGAGGCGTATTCTGGTATTTTTCTATTCAACTCAAAACTAATCAGCCTTACAAGACTCACGACTCCTCCTTTATATAAGCTGGCCTAAAATATCTAACCGACTCGATGACCTAAACTAACATGCGATATCCTCTCGTTTTACATCTCGGGGAGAAAAATTAAACTGGCTAACCAGAACTTGTACGGGACTCAACTCTAAGTAGTACTCTTTAATTAGAAAACTAATTAATCCATCTGGCCACGCTGATCACCTATTGCTAATTTAGACTTAAGTAATGATTTATTTGCCTGCATGCTTGGCACTACTCCAGCAGACATGAAAAGTAGTACTCATATTAATTCATGTTGGAGGGGTCCTGAAGTTTGACTTTACTATATCCTTTTCTGGCTTGTTGGGTGAAACCTCAAAACAAAAAGACCTAAGTTGTAGAATGGTCGGAAGATTATAACGGGAAGACTCTCGTATACTTGCATCAAAACAAATGGTTGTGCTTGTCTTTTGTTCAACAGTTTCAACAGTTGGAGACCCCCCAAGTATACCTGTGATATTGGTGTGCACATCAGGATGTAATTTCCTGTAATATATGTTGGATGTGCAACGTCTTTTCCAGTATGCCGTACCTTTGCTTAATCAGTTTTGGTCCTGTGCATAATTGCTCGTCGTAATGGGCTCAAATTATCTAATTGGGCCTATAGACATGTACGAACTTTAATGGGCCCATTAAGTTAATGGCCATTATCAGGCCGAAAGTTAATGGTCGGACCTCTTACCTCCCGGGTCGTTAACAAGCCGACATCGAAGCGGGAAATAGGTGGACCCATTTGATTTCACGGGCCATTAACAGGCCATTACTAAGGTCGGGCTACATATGGCCCAACTATACTGTGGGCCTTTAGTAGACCGAAAGAGACAGCGGGCTCGTACTGGACCATGAAGAGCATGGGCCGCAAAGAGGCCGAAAGTCAGGTCATACTGTAAATGGCCCAACTGTGTTGTGGGCCTTTAGCAAGCCGAAAGATAAACCGGGCTGGTATTGGATCATAAAGAGCATGGGCCGTTAAAAGGCCAAAACTCAGGTCCGACTACAAATGGCACAAATCATTTATGGACCGTCAACGGGCTGAAAGACACACCGGGCCGGGAATTGGCCCAACACTTAAATCGGTCGCTAAAAGGCCAAAACTAAGGTCCGACTACAAATGACTCAACTCATTTATGAGCCATCAATAGGCTCAAAGACACACCAGGCCGGAAATTGGCCCAACACTTAAATGGGTCGCTAAAAGGCTGAAAGATGTACATCTTGAAAATTGGCCCATCCCTTGAATGGGTCGTTAACAGGCTGAAATCACATCGAGCCGATATTGAGCCCAAATATATAGCGGGCTGTTAACGGGCTCGAACTGACGATGGACTGCAATGGTGTCAAATCGTTAACGAGCTGTTAACGGGCCGAATTGGCACATCTCGTATGGGTCGTGGGCTTAAATGGACCTGACACAAGTAGGGCTTATATGGGCCGGCCTGCTAATTTTTACTGGGCCAGCCTTTTTCACCGGAATGGGCCACTGTTGGGCCGTGCCACGTGTCGACCTATCATAAGTGCCTCCTGTCCAATGAATGGATAACATCTGTCCCAACGATGAGCCAAGACGTGTTTCCTCCGGCCAATGAGAATTTTACATGTGGAAAATCCTCATTGGTCCGGGCTGTTAGCGGGTTATCGGATCCAAAACCGGACCCGATAGCTTAACGGTGTTCCGTTACGGTGGATGCCACGTGTCGGTCATCCTTGACGAAAGTACTTCCATGACGCGCGATTTATCGTCATAGAAGTGGACACTTCCGTGATGATAATTTTGATAATGTCATGGAACACTTCTACGACAACACAGGTATGACTATCTTGATTCTGTCATAAAATCATGATGGATATACATGCATGACAAAAACCGTGACCCACTGTGACAAACATGTATCATCACGGAAGTGTTTTTTTAATGGTTGCACCTTTGCTCATGCTCGGAGACGACGGGAGGAGCACTGCTGGGCTGGAGACAAGGAGGAGGAGCGCCATCGTGACCGGCGAAGATGGAAAAGATTAAAAAAATGAAGGAAAAAAGGATCACCGGAATTTGGCAGACGGAGGTCGGTGGGGCTGCGGGGTGTCGGCTGGTGCAGGTTGGTTGTCGGAGGAAAGGAATGCTGCGGAAGCGGCACTAACGTGCAAGTGACCGAGCAATAGAGAGAGGCGGTCGCGTGAGAAGAACTAATCTTTTCTAAGAATTGATTTTGCTCTCTCAAATTTATGAACCGAGGGAGCACTCTTCTAAAATAATCGAGGAGCTAAACCCTTAAGGGTTCAGGTAGGTCTAGTTTAACTCCTCAAAATAAAAATTTAAAGAGTTAACCAGTTTTGAGGGATCGACTAAGATGCTCAGGTGGATCATTCGCAAGCAGGGTTGCACTTGCCGGTGCTCCTAAAAGCAGAGAAGGCGATGACTAGAACTCCAGCACAGCACCATTAGGTTAATAATTTGCTTGCCTAGCAGTGCAATCCACTACATGCTTCACTTCTATATTATCTGTGCTTAAACTTGTAATCATATGTATTATATCTCTCCGTCTCCCTGAGATGATATTGGATCCACAGATTTTAAAGAGACCTTGATTTTAAAAACCTTCAGATTTTCTAGGTGGTACTCACACTTTGAGAGTAAGCTAGAGAAATGCCGATCCCTACTGTAACGAACTGTTGTATTTAAATCTTCAAATTTGATAGGTGGTAGTTGCACTTTGAAAGTTCACCGCCGGAGAGATCACGACCACAGCAGTCCACTACTACAGTCGATCATGGTGCAGACATTGTGGGAGTATTACCACTACAGTCGATCACCGCTGACCAAATTAGCGCACAAAAAAGGTAGCACTATTTTTACTTTTAAAATAAGACTTTCGTTTTGAGGGAAGATAAAGTTACTTTAATTAGAAAAAAGATTCTTAGCTGCTAAGCCAACCAGTCATTGATCACTATCATAAGCAATTGGGTCGTGATCATATATAGTCACTGTGGTGATTCCCTCCATGTTGTAACGAATCATTCTAACTCTGCTCTTTGTTAGGTCACATGTTATTCGACCGGTGGATATTGTCCAAGGACATAGATTTTGTGGTAGGATTGCCGAGATGTTGTTGCTAGGCAAGACCTATATGGATGGCATCGGGTTTTCTTTCTTTTTAAGTTGATTTGTTCATTATTGATACTTGGTAATTTTTTTCAATATTAAATCATATATAGAAGTGTGCACACTATGTGCCAGCAAAGCATCCGCCACCAGTAGATCCTTCGAGATTCGAACCTACATTTCCGAGCTCAAGTATTCTTACATATTTTTCTGTATCCAATATATTTTTAGACCATTTTATTAATTTTGGTGGGTCTCATGATTTAATCAGATGTTCAATTTTCAAAATTTGAACTTTTTCAAATCTCATTCATTATTTATTGTTCATTTCCAGATACATTGCTAATTCAAATGTCAAATGCATTCCACTAACATTTCACCATTACTCGATGGGATTTCATAGGCAAGTTAGACAAAGTTCACGTATCCATTCTAGAACCATTTAAGGTACATTTCAAAGAAAGTAAAAAATTCAAACAAATTCCACAATGGTTTTCATACATTTTCTAATGCGATAGTATAATTGTTCCAGATACAATTCACAAATCATAACATATCATTCACACTAACTGTATTTCAATATCTCAGTGGCAATTCATATCTATTTTGAAAACATTTTAGAGCAAGTTTTAGATAAATTCTACAACAATTTCCTAAAATTTACATCTTCATTTTCTATAATACAATTCACATTTTTTAGATACAGTTCACAAACCAATTATTCCACTCATAGTTGATAATTACAGATACATTCCATAGGCATTTCACAAAATATTCAATGCCATCTCACAAAACTACACTGCAACAAAAAATCACTGACATTTCACGAGTACATTGCAACATGTTTTCATCTTATTTCAGTTTTGGTTTAGACATAATTAATTATAAATAACTTATAGGCATATTGAGGTGCGATTTCATAAATTTGACATTGAATGAAATGAGGCTCACAAACTATAATTAAACTGAAATGCTTTTTTTGTAAACTAAACCATGTTTCAAAGTGATTTCACTGTATTATCCTACAGGGACAGTACAAGAAGGAAAGTTCAAAGCGCTTAACCAACTCAACTTTATTTCACTACATGGACAGTTTCAAAGCAAAATACTACTACTACTACTCACAACCCCAGAATATATTCTGGCACAATCTAGTGATCTATGTATGAAAGGATGTTCCTTGGCCGCCAGCTTCACCGGTGACCACCCTTTGGGCCGCAGCCGCCATTGATGATGCACATGGATGCACCCTCCCGGCGCCGGCGGTCCATGTGTTGCAAGCTGCCTTCTTCTCTTCACCAGTAAAACTCTGCTTCTTCTTCTCATCTTCTCCGGTCATTGACTTGCCCATCGTCGTCGCTGCCGAAGCCTCCTCGCTGATCCTCCTCCTCAGTCTCTCTTGCTTCACGTGTACCTGTGCGTAGCTGAACCCCATGGAAGCCATGTTGAGCAGAGAAGTTAGCTAGTAGAAGGATGAAGGCTTGAGTTAATGTGATAGTTGGGAGGTTGTGTGTGCATACGTGCGTCTATTTATAGGCGCCAGTTAAGACTTAAGACAACAAGGGTGCTGACTTCTTAATACTTCCACTCTAATGGAGTACACGTAGCAAGGAGATGACTAGGACTCCAGCACCATCAGGTCAATGTGCTTGCGTGGCAGTGCAATCCGCAGCATGCTTCACTTCTGCATTATCTGTGCTTAAACTTTTAATCAAATGTATTATATCTCTCCATCTCCCCGAGATGATATTGGATCCATAGATTTTAAAACCTTCAGATTTGGTAGGTGGTACTCACACTTTGAGAGTAAGATAGAGAAATGCCGATCGCTACTGTAACGAACTATTGTATTTAAATCTTCAGATTTGATAGGTGGTACTTGCACTTTGAAAGTTCACCGCCGGAGAGATCACGACCATAGCAGTCCACTACTGCAGTCGATCGTGGTGCAGACATTGTAGGAGTATTACTCCTATTTTATCATCAGTCAACTAGAAGATATTATATCTACTCACCGCTGACCAAATTAGCGCACAAAAAAAGGTAGTAGCACTATTTTTACTTCAAAAATAAGACTTTCCTTTTGAGGCAAGATAAAGTTACTTTAATTAGAAAAAAGATTCTTAGCTGCTAAGCCAACCAGTCATTGATCATACCACGTGATACATGTGGTAAGCAATCCAAACAACTCTAAAAAACCAGTCATTGATCATTATCATAAGCAATTGGGTCATGATGCTGCCGTAATTCCTTCCATGTTGCAACGAATCATTCTAACTCCGCTCCTGCCTCTTTGTCAGGTCACATGTTATTCGACAGGTGGATATGGTCCAAGGACATAGATTTTGTGGTAGGATTGTGGAGATGTTGTTACTAGGCAAGTCGTATATGGATGGCCTCGGGTATTTCTTTCTTTTTAAGTCGATTTGTTCAGTATTGATAATTGGTAAAAAAATATATTAAATCATACATAGAAGTGTGCACACTATGTGCCGGCAAAGCATTTGCCACCAATAGATGCTTCGAGATTCGAACCTACATTTTTGAGCAATTATTCTTACATATTTGTCTGTATCCAATATATTTTTAGACATTTTTATTAATTTTGGTGGGTCTCATGATTTAATCAGATGTTCAATTTTCAAAAGTTGAACTTTTTCAAATCTCATTCATTATTTATTGTTCATTTCCAGATACATTGCTAATTCAAATGTCAAATGCATTTCACTAACATTTCACCATTACTCTATGGGATTTCATAGGAAAGTTACACAAAGTCCATGTATCCATTCTAGAACCATTTAAGGTACATTTCAAAGAAAGTAAAAAAATTCAAACAAATTCCACAACGGTTTTCATGCATTTTCTAATGCGATGGTATAATTGTTTCAGATAAAATTCACAAATCATAACATATCATTCACACTAACTGTATTTCAATATCTCAATGGCAATTCATATCTATTTTGAAAACATTTTAGAGAAAGTTAATAATTTAGATATATTCTACAAAAAAATCGTAAAATTTTGATTGCATTTTCAATAATACAATTAATGATTTTTTTTAGATACAGTTCACAAACCAATTATTCCATCCACAGTTGATAATTACAGATACATTCCATAGGCATTTCACAAAATATTCAATGACATCTCACAAAACTACACTGCAACAAAAAAAATCACTGACATTTCACGAGTACATTGCAACATGTTTTCATCTTATTTCAGTTTTGGTTTAGACATAATTATAAATAACTTATAGACATATTGAGGTGCAATTTCAGAAATTGACGTTGAATGAAATGAGGCTCCCAAACTATAATTAAATCGAAATGCTTTTTTTTGTAAACTAAACCATGTTTCAAAGTGATTTCACTATATTATCTGTGTTCGGCAAATAAGCCGTGGCCACATGTCAGTCGCGTTAGGCGCATGCGAGGGCGCGCGCTGGGCGTGACGGGCGCGTCGGGTCCGCGCCGTAGATGTGCGTGTGTGCGTGTGTGTGGTGCACGGGCGTGTCCGTGCGCGGGTACACTGTGTGCATGTGTGTAGTTGTAGGTTGTTGGCGAGCCGCATGGCGCAATCGAGCCCGTTCTGTTGGTGATCACCACGAGACGCGCGTGTCCGAGCGCGTTGCGGGCACGGCCAGAGCGTGCGGAGCGTGGGCACGATCGCGGGCGGGTGGAGGCGTGGGTGCGTGCCCGGTGTGCCGGCTCAGGATTATAAAGACGTGCGGTGACCGTTGTAACAGCCGAGGTGATCGAGTTCGTGCTCGAGGAAGAAAAAATTCGTCTGTGCGGCAGGCGTTCGTGCGCCGAAAAACCTCCCGTGTCCACTGTCTCCTCCTTCTTCCTCCTTCTTCTTCGTTGGTTCGTGCCACAACAGAGAGAGAGCTCAGAGAGAGAGAGAGAGAGGTAGAGCTCGGGCATGCAAGGGTTTAGGGTTTGGCAACAACAATTGGCATCAGAGCTCAATTTCGGAGGTGATCGCCGGCGGCCATGGTGCTCGTGCCGCACTGTGGTGGTGGCGGCTCATTTTCGCTGTCGGTCCCGGTCCCGCTGCTGACGACGTCGAACTACATCTCCTGGGCAATCAAGGTGGAGGCGCCGCTTGATGCCCAGGGGCTGTGGGTGGTGATTGCTCCGGCGGAAAGCGCGGCGATCGACGCTGGCAAGAGCAAGACGGCGAGGGTGATGCTTCTCGGGGCGCTCTCGGAGGAGGTGCTGCTGCCGGTGTCGACGAAGCCCACCGCGAAGGAGGTATGGGACTCCCTCAAGGTGCGCTTCGTCGGCGCCAATCGGGTGCGGGCGGCCCGGCTCGCGTCGCCCTGCGGCGAGTTAGAGCAGTTGCGGATGGCGGACGGCGACGACCTGGACAGCTATGCCGGGAAGCTCGGGGCCATGACGACACACTATGCAGGGCTGGGCGCGGAACTCGACGACGCGGCGCTGGTGAAGAAGATGTTGGACACGGTGCCGGATCGTCTGTACCCCGACATCACCGGAATTGAACAATTCTGCGACGTGGAGACCATGGCGTTCGAGGAGGCTTTGGGGAGGCTCAAGGCATTTGAAGAGTGGACCCGGCGTCGCAGGCAAGACGACGGCGAGCGCGAGGGAGATCAGCTACTCCTGACCATGGCGCAGTGACGAGCGCGGGAGCGGCAGCAGGGCGGCGCTCGGGACGACGACGACGAGCGGAGTGTGGCGTCTGGCAACGGCGGCAACAGGCGAGGCCGGTGCTACATCTGCGGCGAGTGCGGCCACTTCAAACGGGAATGCCCAAAGCTGCGGAAGGAGCCGGCGGTGGAGCGTGCACTTCTGGCAGACGCGGGGGTCGAGGACGACGGCCTCCTCTAAGCCGCGGCTTAGGAGGTGAAGTGTTGGGCAAATAAGCCACGACCACAGGTCAGTCGCATCGGGCGCGTGCGTGGGCGCGTGCTGGGTGTGACGAGCGTGTTGGGTCCGTGCCGTAGGTGTGTGTGTGTGCGCGCGCGTGCACGCGCGTGTGGTGCATGGGCGTGTCCGTGCATGAGTACACCGTGTGCGTGTGTGTAGCTGTAGGTTGTTGGCGAGCCGCACGGCGCGATCGGGCCCGTTCTGTTGGTGCTCACAGCGAGACGCGCGCGTCCGAGCGCGTTGCGGGCGCGGCCAGAGCGTGCGGAGCATGGGCACAATCACGGTCGAGTGGAGGCGTGGGTGCGTGCCCAGTGTGCCTGCTCGGGGCTATAAAGTCGTGCGGTGACCGTTGTAACAACCGAGGTGATCGAGTTCATGCTCGAGGAAGAAAAAGCAGTCTGTGCGGCTAGCATTCGTGCGCCGGAAAACCTTCCGTGTCCACTATATCCTCCTTCTTCTTCGTTGGTTCGTGCCACAACAGAGAGAGAGCTCAGAGAGAGAGGGGTAGAGCTCGGGCAGGCTAGGGTTTAGGGTTTGGCAACAACACAGTACAGGAAGGAAAGTTCAAAGCGCTTAACCAACTCAACTTTATTTCACTACATGGACAGTTTCAAAGCAAAATACTACTACTACTCACAACCCCAGAATATATTCTGGCACAATCTAGTGATCTATGTATGCCAGGATGTTCCCTGGCCGCCAGCTTCACCAGTGGCCACCCTTTGGGGCCGCAGCCGCTGTTGAAGATGCACATGGATGCACCCTCCCGGCGCCGGCGGTCCATGTGTTGCAATCTGCCTTCTTCTCTTCACCAGTAAAACTCTGCTTCTTCTTCTCATTTTCTCCGGTCATTGACTTGCCCATCGTCGTCGCTGCCGAAGCCTCCTCGCTGATCCTCCTCCTCAGTCTCTCCTGCTTCACGTGTACCTGTGCGTAGCTAAACCCCATGGAAGCCATGTTGAGCAGAGAAGTTAATTAGCTAGTAGAAGGATGAAGGCTTGAGTTAATGTGATGGTTGGAAGGTTGTGTGTGCATACGTGTGTCTATTTGTTGGCCCCAGTTAAGACTTAAGACAATTAGGTGGTGTTTGGTTCTCTAGTACCAGGACTTTTTCTAGTCCCAACTAAAAAGTCCGTAGTCCCTAAAAAGTCTTTCCATGTTTGTTTTCAGAGACTAAAAAGTCCCTAGTCCCTTACTAGAGGTTATTAAATGATCATATTATCCCTAGTATATAGAAAAATAACAATCAAACAACACCATGAGGTGGCGGGTCAATGGGTGCATGAAGGGGCATTGTTGGAAAAGTCACAAAAAGTCTCAAAAAGACTCTCCTTGAGAGTCTTCTTTGTTTAGTCTCAAATGCCTAGTTTAGTCCATAAAAAGTCCCTCCCGTTTGGTAAAAAAGTCTCTAAGAGGGACTTTTTCTAGTCCCTACAAAAAAAAAAGTTCC